GGCCCCATACCAGGATTCATTTTCACTTGAGGAAGTGCCCCGTTGGAAAACAACTGTTTGAAAATCTTGAGCTGTGCCAGAATCACAATTTCTGGGACTGCAACGCCGCGAATCACCATTATTGTTGCGTCTTGACGATCACGAATGGTGCCAGAACGCAATTTCCGAGACTTCGACATCACGACTCAACGTGAGTGTTGCGCCTTGTCAATCGGACATCTTTACAAACACCATTTTTGGAACGTTAACCATGGGAGTCTTTGGGAGCTACAGTACATTTTCAGAGCGAATATGCGCGGCGCTGCTGCCAGAGCCGCATTTTGAGAAGGAGTCGCCCTCCATCTGTGAAGCCCCTACACTTTGATGACGATTGTGCGCGGCGTTGGAGCGAGAGTCACATTTCGAAAACGACCCGCCCTCCATCAGTGAACCTTTGCGACTTTTTATGACGAATCTGCGCGGCGCGCAGGCGAGAGCCACATTTTGAAGGCGACCTGTCCTCAATCCGCGAAGCTCTTGCAAAGTTCATAGAACGGGTGTGCGCGGCGCTGAAGCGAAAACCACGTCCCGAAAACGGCCCGCCCTCCATCCGTGAAGCTGTTGCAAGTTTCAAGCTCGAGGATCATAAGTGGTGAGGAAGTCTCAGGCGAACCGCCCGGCCCGCCCTTCAGACTGGCCTCGGGGTGCGACAGGGAGGAGCTGCTCATAAGGAGAAACAGATGAGGAGGAGGGGGATGGGTGACGGAGACGGGGCGGGGGCGGAGGGGGGGAGCGAGGCGGAGGGGGGCCGAGGGGGCGGAGGGGGAAAGGAGGGGGCGGAGGGGGCCGTCCGTCGCCAGCCGCGGCCGGGAAGTGCCCTCTCGCGCGCCCCCGGAGCGCCATCCGCGCGCTGCTGCGGAACTCTTCGCCGCGCCGTCCGCCGGGAGCTCCCAGAGACGCGCCCGCTCCGCGCTCGCCCTCGGGGCGGGCCCTGTGCCTCGGCCTCCGCCCCGACCGGCCTGCTAGGCGGGCTGTCCTCCTCCTCCTTCTCCTCCTCCTCCTCGATCCTGGATCCCTCCTCCTTCTCCTCCTCCTCCTCCTCCTCCTCCTCCTCCTCCTTTCCTCCTCCTCCTCCTCCTCCTCCTCCTCCTCCTCCTCCTCCTCCTCCTCCTCCTCCCCTCCCTCCCTCCGCCCGAGGCAGAGGGGGAGGGCGGCGCTGGGCGGCGCGTCGCACATTTGGGGGCGAGAGAGTGGGGAGGCAGCGAGGGCTGCAGAACAGGGGCCCTTGAGGCCTCCAAGGGGGTCTTCGGTGCCCGAGAAGTTCAGCTTTCTCCCCGCTCATTTCTCGCCCCCCCCATGCATCGACGCCCAACAGCGGCGGCGCCAGCGGCTGGCGGCCGGGGAGCGCGGCGCCCCGCGCGCGGGTGCGGCGGGCGAGCGCGGCGGTGCGCTCCGAGCTCGGGGGTCCCAGCGGACCCAGGATCCCCCAGGGCTGCGAGGCAGGAGGGGGAGGGCCTCCCGAGGAAGGCTCGGACGGAGCAGCAGGGCGAGGGGAAGGCGGACGAGGGAGCGGGGAGGGGGAGACGAGCCGCCCGAGGCTGCTTCAGCGCGTGTGGGGCTTGCCTTTTCTGCTCGCAGACAGTGGTTCGCAGTGGGTGCCGAGGGCAGAGGAGGCGGAGGAGGCGGAGGAGGAGGAGGAGGAGGAGGAGGAGGAGGAGGATGAGGAGGAGGAGGAGGAGGAGGAGGGGAAGGAGGAGGGGAAGGAGGAGGAGGAGGAGGAGGAGGAGGAGGAGGAGGAGGAGGAGGAGGAGGAGGAGGGAGGAGGAGGAGGAGGAGGAGGAGGAGGAGGAGGAGGAGAGGAGGAGGAGGAGGAGGAGGAGGAGGAGGAGGAGGAGGAGGAGGAGGAGGAGGAGGAGGAGGAGGAGGAGGAGGAGGAGGAGGAGGAGGAGGAGGAGGAGGAGGAGGAGGAGGAGGAGGAGGAGGAGGAGGAGGAGGAGGGGAGGAGGGGGGAGGGCGCACCGACCCCCCAGCCGCCCGTGGGTCGCCGACGGGGGCGCCCGAAAGCCTGCCTCCGCCCCGGGCCGTGCGGCCTCGCTGTCCTGGGCCCACCGCAGCAGGTCCTCCGTGTCGTTCCCCCTCCGGGGGGGCGCCCCAGCCGGCAGCGCGGCGCACGCCAGCACCTTCAGCACCAACTCCTTCGGGACCATCTCGATCCAGTGGGCCCGCTTCGATATCGGTTCCGCGGGCCCAGTCCGATCCGAAGCTGAGGCTCCGTTGGTCCGAGGCGGCCGAGTACTTGCACGGCGCCGCCGTGCGGCTGAGTCGCTGCGGTTTCGATTCCGTGGTTCGACCCGCACTCCGAGTCGATCCAGTTTTTCCCGCTTCCCGTGTTGGGTTCTCGTTTTGAACAGCGCACTGTGGTCTCCGCCTCCTCTTCCTCCCGCCTCCATCCTCCGTCTTCCTGCCTCCTCCTGCGCTGCTGCCTGGGTGGCTGCGAACTGTGCAGCTGTCACCAGTTCCGTGGGCTCCTGGGAGGCACGGCGGAGTAGCGGAGTAACCGAATTCTCGCAGCTCCCTGGGTGGTTGCGAACTTCTCAATTGTCGCCGCTTTTTCGTGGGCTCCTGGGAGGCACGGCGGAGTAGCGGAGTACCCGAGACCTCGCAGCTCCCTGGGTGTGTGCGAACTGCGCCATTGTCGCCACTCTCGTGCGATCCTGTGAGGTCCAGCGAATTCGGGGGCCACGCGCACCCATTTGATACCTGGCTGCTGCCTGGAATGCTGCGAACTGTTCAATTGTCGACACTTTTCGTTGGCTCCTGGGAGGTCCAGTGGTGTCGGGGGCTACGCGGATCCAGCTGAGACCTTGCGGCTCCCTGGGAGGCCACGAATTGTGCAGTTGTCGCCACTTTCGTGGGCTCCTGGGAGACACGGCGGAGATGAGGGCAGCGCAGATCGTGCATATCTGGCGATGTGTTCTTGTCTATGTAGCGCTTATGCAAATATTCGCCTCGCGTGGAGAAGGGGTTGGGCACGTTTCGGGTAACTCCACGACGGCGATATCACTATTCCCGGTCGCTGCTTGTGTTCCTGACGTCACTATGACGCTGCTTGCTGCCAGAAGTCTTATAGAACACTGCTGTGAAGGGAATGTGGGCTATCGCCTTGTGAGCCTGGCAGGCGGAGTGGCTGCAGCAACTGCCAGGACAGGCGCAGCAGCTGCCGCAGCAGCTGCAGTTCCAGCAGCTGTCACAGCCGCTGCATCAGCCGCCACCGCTTCAGCAGCTGTCGGAGCAGCAGCCCGAGCCGACGCCGGTGCAACTGCTGCAGCAGCAGCAGCAGCAGCAGCAGCCGCAGGAGGCCTCGTGGATGCAGCAGGTGCCAGAGCAGCTGCAGTTCCAGCAGGTGCCAGATCAGCTGCAGTTCCAGCAGCTGCCACAACAGCTGCAGTTCCAAAAACTGCCACAGCAGCTGCAGCCGCCAGAGCAGCAGCCGCAGCTGCAGCAGTCGCAGCTGCAGCAGTCGCAGCAGCAGTCGCAGCCTCAGCTGGTGCCTGAGCAGCTGCAGTTCCAGCAGCTGTCACAGCCGCTGCATCAGCCGCCACAGCCTCAGCAGCTGTCGGAGCAGCTGCCCGAGCCGACGCCGCTGCAACCGCAGCAGCTGCCGCAGGCGGCTTCGTGGATGCAGCAGGTGCCAGAGCAGCTGCGGTTCCAGCAGGTGCCAGATCAGCTACAGATCCAGCAGCTGCCACAACAGCTGCAGCTCCAACAGCTGCCACGGCAGCTGCAGCAACTGCAGCCGCCAGAGCAGCAATCGCAGCCGCATCAGTCGCAGCAGCAGCCGCAGCATCAGGCCCTTCCGCAGCTGACCTCGTGGACGCAGCAGTCTCCGCCGGTGCCGCAGCGGTTTCCAGAGACGTTTGACCGCACTGCTGCCGCCGCGATGCTGGCCCCTGCGCGGGCGGAGCCAGAGGAGCCCGCCCGAGCGGCTTCGGGACTGGCGCAGCTGCGTGCCCAGGAGCAGGCCCTGCTGGCGCAGTTGGCTCTGATGGAGCAGCGCATGCAGAATGTCGAAGCGCTAGCGCAGCAGCAGCAGCAGCAGCAGCAGCAGCAGCAGCAGCAGCAGCAGCAGCAGCAGCAGCAGCAGCAGCAGCAGCAGCAGCAGCTGCTGGCCTACGAGAGCAGCCAGCTCGCCGAGACGCGGGCGCGGGCGCAGGCGCAGGCGCTGGCGGGCGCGGAGGTGCAGACCGAGGAGCTGTGGGCGCCGCTCTCGCCCCGAGCGCCAGGGCTGCCGCCGGTGTTCCTGGAGCGGCCCGGAGCGGCCCTCCTGCCGGGCTTTCCTCGGCTGCACGTAGGAGTGGCCCTTCGCCAGAGTGGCCTTCGGTTCTGGGCCGTCCGAATGGGGCCAGAGTAGGTGGGGTCGGAGGATGTCGATGCATCGCCGCTGTATCAGCGACTCGGTGCGACCTGGAGCCCGATCTTACCGATCCTTACGTCGCAGATGCATCGCTGGTGCATCGTCGATGCCGCGCGATCTTCCGACCCTATTTGCTCGGACACCGTTTAAGATGGTCCACGTATGCACGGCTCTCGGGGGGCGTGGAGGGGGGTGAATCCCAAGCACGCAGGTCGCCAGGCAGGACTGCTCGCTGCCGATCAGATCCGGATCTTCAAACTTCGATGCCCATCTTGATCCGACCCGATGCGGCACGAACCGAATCCATCTCCGGTCTGCAGGCGCTGAGCCTTTTCCGCGACCCCATGCGGGCCGATCACGATGCGATTTTGCGGCTACTCGGGTGCACCCCGACCTGCCTCCGATCCGAGGCGACCCCGCAATTCTATCCAGCTCAGGCCTGCAAGCCGCGCACCAAGGATTGATGGGCCGATTTTCCACCACCACCACCACCACCACCACCACCACCACCACCACCACCACCACCACCACCACCACCACCACCACCACCACCACCACCCACCCACCAGCACCACCACCACCACCACCACCACCACCACCACCACCACCACCACCACCACCATAGGTTGAGGAGGAGGATGAGGAGGAGGAGGAGGAGGAGAGGAGGAGGAAGGGGGAGGGGGAGGAGGAGGGAGGAGGAGGAGGAGTGAGGAGGAGGAGGAGGCGGAGGAGGCGGAGGAGGAGGAGGAGGAGGGCCTCCCCCCGCTCCCCCCCCCCTTCTCCCCCCGCCCTGCCTGGCAGCAGTGGCGGTGGAACACCTGGCCCCTCGAAAGGACAACTCCTGGCACAGGGCCCCGCTCCCAGGTGCAGCCGACGCAGCCGCCGCCCCAGCAGGCGCCCTGGCCTGCCGGGGCCCCGTCGCCCTGGGAGGCGCTCTACGGGGCGCCGCGGCAGCGGCCCGGGCCCCCGCGGGCGTGAGCCCCGCGGGCGCGGCGGGTCGCGCCGCGCTTCGCCTCGGGCGTGCTCCTCCTCCTCCTCCTCCTCCTCTTCCTCCTCCTCCTCCTCCTCCTCCTCCTCCCACTCCTCCTTCCCCTCCCCTCCCTCTCCCCCCTCCTCCTCCTCCTCCTCCTCACCTCCTCCTCCTCTCCCCCTCCTCCTCCTCCTCCTCCTCCTCCTCCTCCTCCTCATCCTCCTCCTCCTCCCAAGAAGCACCAGGGCGCCAGCCTACAAGGAGGGACCCCCCCCTCCCTGCCAGGGAGCCCAGGGAGTCCCTGGGCTGCCCACGGAGGGTTCGTCCTCGCCCTCGTCCTCTTCCACGAGCGTGGTTCTGACGGCGACGACCTCAGCGTGGTTCGCGCCGCGCGGTTCGGCGCAGCGTGGTTCGCGGTCAGCGTGGTCCGTGGGAGGTTCGCGCGGCGCGGTTCTGGCGGCGACCCCAGCGTGGGCGCTCGAGGCTGGGAGCCGCCCGTGGCACGGAATCGGCTGGTGTCGAACGATCCGTGCTATTGGAGCACCGCGGTCGTTCAAGATTGAACGATCCACGCGATGGCAGGCATCAGTGCGCAAGTCGTCACGACACGAACTCGACTTAGGAAGGGTTGAGTTACCGGCCTGGAACACATATCTATCCCTATGATTGGCAACACCTCATCTCGGCGCCGACCTCGAGGATCCCCCCCGGTTCTGAGCGCACATCCTCACGATTGTAATAGACGTGGGCCTGTCAATCTTGGAGATCGGGATGACCTCAAGGCTGGTTTATGAGGGGGGGAGGTATGTGGAGTTGAGGTGCAGCCGGGTTGTCAAATCCAGAGCACGTTTGATTCGTGAGTGGCTCGGTCTTTCCATGGGTCCGGCAGCGCGTCTCAAAGCAAGTCGGATCCCCTTTGGTTCAAGATTCCTCGCAGCAGCACTTCGGCTGCAAACGCCTTGCGGTCGGTTCCGCCGACCCCGAGAGCAGCTCGGGCGCAAGAGGCGGGAACGCGACAGGTGGGCCAGGCGGTAGCGGAGGGCGAACACCTGGCGGCCTTCGGGCATCCCGCCATTGCGTCTGGGACGCTGCGCCAGAGGCCCCGTGCAAGAACTTTTGGGGCTGACTTGACTCGTCATGGACTCCAGCAGCGCTTGAGTCTCGCTGGCGATGTACATCTTTTGGCCCTGCAAGAGCATGGGCCTCTTCCTCCTATTACTCCCTTCTTGTCCTCCTCGTCATGGGCCACCTTATCGTCCCTTCTCCTCTCCTCCTGCCTCCTGCCTCCTCCCCCTTGTCACGTCGTCGTCGTCGTAGCCGGCGTCGTCGTTGTCGTCCCCCTCGTCTTCCCCCCCTGTTCTTATTCCTAGTTATTTTCTTGCCTCTCTTCTTCCGTCCCAAAATACCGAGTTACAAGCAAAACGGACTTGCGAGACAGTCACTACCGAAATGTGTTCCGCTCAAACTAGCCATAAGGGATGTGTTCGTGTGTCTATGTCTATGTGTAGTTATATCTAGTTGTATATAGACATGGATATGATGTGCAAGTGGGTTTTTGAAATCTAGGACGGCATGGTCGGCCTCAGCCTCGCAGACCTACGTTACCACCATGCTTTTGAACTTTCTCGATTACTACATGCCTTGGAACAGTCGTTCGAGTGATACACGAACGCCGAGTTCAAATCATGTTGTGCTGGTGTTTGTGCGCGCGATTGTGCTGGTAGTTTTGCTGGTGGTTGTGCTGGCGGTGGTTGGAGGAGGAGGAGGAGGAGGAGGAGGAGGAGGAGGAGGAGGAGGAGGACGTGGAGGAGGAGGAGGAGGAAGAGGGGGAGGAGGAGGAGGAGGACGTGGAGGAGGAGGAGCAGGCGGAAGCAGCAGGGCGGACCGGGAGGAGGGAGCGACGCATGGCGCGGGAGGTGAGGGACGCGACGGAGGCGAGGAGGCCCTGGAGAGGGGCGCGCCGCGCGCTGGACAGGAGGATGGCCTGAGCCGCGCCCCCCCCCCCCCCCCGGGGGCGCCCGCGCGTAAAGGCCCGTGCGGGCGCCGCGCTCTCGCGGCGCATGCGAGCGCCGCTCCCGGGGCCATGGACGAGCTGGGGCCCGAGCCGTGGCCCGAGGGGCGGGGGCCGCCGGGGGGTGCCGGGCCCCCGGGGGCCCGGGCTCTCGGCCAGCCGCGCGCGAGAGGGGCCCTCCGCCGGAGTGGCCTCGGGTGCGCTTCAAACGACGCGAAGATCGGGACAAAATCGGATCGGGATGACTCGAACTCTCGGAGAATCGGCGGGTGTGGAGGATGTATTGGGCGCCGCGGCCGCTCCAGAGCGTTCCGGAACGCTCTAGATCGATTTATCCCGATCCTAGCCCTGTTTTAGCACTGCTCTCGGGGGGGGTGCGCAGAGGTGCCGGGCCCAGGCACGCAGGCCGCCACCAGCGCATCGCTGCAGCGACCGGCGAGCCGCGCGCCAACGGTCACCCTCGCCCGGGGCCCCTCGCGTGCGCAGCCGACTGGGCTCCGTCGCCTCGGGGTGTCTTCTCGAGTCTGCTCTGCCCACGTTCAAGCTGGCGTCCTCGGCCGGGGTCTGCCCTGACAGAAAGAGTGGGGGAGTTCGAGATTTGAGGTTTTCGGGGGTTCTCGTCGGCGGCTCCTGGAAGTTCTCCCGCCTCGGGGTGCTCTGCAGCAGCTGCGCCTCGACGAGAGCATCCAGGGGTGCTCTAATCGTCCCGGGGCTTTGGAGTCGCGGTAATATGCGACGGGTGGTTTTCGGCCATCTTTCGGCCCCTGACGGCCCGTACACACCGTTGGATCCTGGAGCTGTCCGACCAGCTCGGATTCAGGAACGCCAGATCCTATGGAGGGGTCGAGACTCCCAGGGTCCCGCCTGAGGCGCGATTGGGCTTGTGGGGGTCGTTCCTGTCGATGGTCCCTGGGGCCCCTGTTTAGCACGGGGTGGGCTTACCCTGCTCGTGGCTGGCCGCCCTGGCCGCTCCGCGGCGGCCTCCGCCGCGTGAGCGCCCTCCCTCCTCCCCCCGATGCCCCGCGGCCGCTTCCTCCTCCCTTGTTTCCCCCCGCTCCTGCTGCGGGACAATTGGCGATGCCGTCTCCTGGCTTGCCGGAGCGCGCGTGCGGTCTGCCTCTGCCGAGATGCGACTTACGACAGAGTGTTTTACCCCGTGCAGCTCCAACTAGTGGTTTGCCCTGTGTTCCACCTCCGCCCAGGGAGGTGGGGTCCGCGATGCCCCCGAGCTGAATGTTGGCGATCTCTCGAGGGGAGCGCGGTAAAACGGGGGCACCACACCACCATGCGGGCCCTCCACGTGCTCTTTTTTCTCTGGTGTTGGTGGTTATGTTTTTTCCCGGAAAGGGCGTGGGCCCAGGGTTCTCTTTTAGTGGGTAAACCTGTCCCCCGGTGCCAACTTGAAGGAGGCCGGCGGATTTTTTCCCTGATAAATATCGAGGTCGAAGGAGGCCGGCGGATTAAAATTTGAGGATGTCTCGAGCGAAACGCTTGTTTTTGAAATCCCGATCGATAAATCACAGGGTGCGGGGCACTTTTTCGTGCGTTGAGGATGTCTCGAGCGAAACGCTTGCTCCGCAGAGTTTGCCGAGGATGTCTCGAGCGAAACGCTTGTTTTGCAGAGCCGACCGCGACGCGGAAAAGCGCCCCGCGCGAAGGAATTTCGATGATGTCTCGACTAATTCGTTTGTTTTTGTACGATTTCCTGGAATTTTGGCAGGATGTCTCGAGCGAAATGCACGACCCCACCCTAGCACGACCATACCCCAGCACGACCACACCCCAGCACGACCAGACCCCAGCACGACCCCACCCCAGCACGACCCCACCCCAGCACGACCATACCCCAGCACG